ACATACATACATACACATACATACATACATACATACAGACAGACATACATACATACATATATGTACATGCGTTATACTTAAAGGGAATATATAGCGGCATGTGGGGCACCAAATTCCCCCACTCCCGAGTAGGAACAAGTTAACCTCCAAAAAGCTCCACCACCTCCCACTTAGATTCTTGGGGGGGTGCCTTTTGGGGTGGGCGGGGCTGCGGAGTGGGTTTAGGGGTTAAGGGTTTAGGGGTTAAGGGTTAAGGGTTTAGGGTTCAAGGTTTAGGGTTCAGGGCTTAGTGGAAAAAAAGAAAAATGATTTTAAAAAAGAAACAATAAAAGAAAAAAATTATAAAAAAAAAAAAAAAAAAAAAAAAAAAAAGTGGCCCGAGCCTGCGTGGTGCCCCACTGCTCCCAGGAAGCAGAAGGGTGCAGTAGGGGGTTGCCTGACTGGCTTGCCTGGCAAAGGCACGCCCAAAAGGGCCGGGTTGGGGCATGTCTAGGGTTTAGGGGTTTAGGGTTTAGGGCTTGGAGTACAGGGTTTAGGGTTTAGACAAGATATTGTGGGGGGTAGTGGGCTTGGGGTTTGGGGAGGGGAGGGTGCAGGGAGATGTCGTTGCAGCGCCCCAAAAATATTTGGGTTTAAGGCCTACCTACAAAGCCCCCCCCCCCCCCCCAACAAAAGACACAAAAAAATGCTTGGGACCCTAAACCCTGAACCCTAAACCCGAAAACCTTCATCCCACCACCCAAACCAGCGAGAGCCTGGCAGAGGCAGTGGAAGGGCCGGCTGTCTCGCTTGTACTCGCCGCCAGGGAGTTCCCAGCCTGCAAGAGGGTTTAGGGTTTAGGGTTTGGAGTTTAGGGTTTAGGGTTTGGAGTTGGGGGATGGGCACATTGTGGGTCGAGGTGAAAGGTTTACTTAGGGCTTAAACGCAGGCTGAATTAAAGAAACCTTTTCTATACAGTATATTCCACAAAAAAGGGTGTCCTCAAGAAGCGGCTTTAAACCCTAAACCCTAAACCACTTTTTTGAAAGGAACCGAATCACAGTAAGGTTGTGGGTAGGTTCCGGCTTTTAAAGTGGCTTAGGGTTTAAGGCTTAGGGTTTAGGGTTTAGGGTTTAGGATTTAGGGTTTCGGGTTTCGGGTTTAGGGTTTAGGGTTTAGGGTTCAGGTGTGTGTGCTCGTGGCTTCTAGGTCTCGAGGCCTTCATACTTGTCAAAGCCTGACAATCGGCAGGCCCCTGGCATGACCCATGGTCGTAGCCCTTAGCCCGACTCCCTAAAAAAGCCCTATAATAATGGTCATAATAAATCATGATGGAAAAATTAATAAACCAATAAAAGATTAAGAATATGGAAAAAATATGTTGAGAAACGAATCAGAATTCGAACCCTGCCTGCAATCCCTAGAAAGCCCTGGCCGCAGGAAAGTTGACTCCTCACCCGACAAATGTTCCGAGCAGGTGTGGACAAGGCCAAGTAGCAAAGCGGGGAACAAGGGCTTTGGGGTTCAGGGCTTCAAAGGCTTTAAGGGTTTAAAGGGCCTTCAAGGTCTTAAGGGATGAAAGTGAGTAAGGGGCGTTAAGGGCTTTAAGAGTTTCAAGGGTGTAAAGGGCTCAAAGGGCCTTAAGGGCTCAAAGGGTTTTTGGGGGTTTAAAGGGTTTAGGCTTCATGAACCATGGCACATGTCAGAGGACTTCCTAAACTCGCCCAGGGGTTGCAGGTCTCACTGCAGATCCACGAAAGTGTCCCAGTCCTCCGGCACCCCACGTCCCGATAGCTGAGCGCGAGACCGGCGTGCTCGCAGACAACGCGACCTTCCCAACAGTCAGCGGTTTAGGGTTGAGGGCCTAGGGTTCCATGCATATAAATATAGATATATATATATATAGATATATTCAGAACGACGCTACATACATACATATATACTGCACATAGATGAGTGTATACACATATACACAAGGCAATGAGGGCTGATCGGGCTTGGGGGCGTAAGTGAGGTTGACAGAAGAAGGACTTTCAAAAATGACACTAATGCTAACAACAATAAACAGTAACAACAATAACAACAATAATAACAATAATAACAATAAGAATCATCATCATACTGGTATGAGTAATAACAACTTATATATACATATATATATATATCTGACACTCTCATGATCCAAAAGATGCGGGGTAAGCACAGAAGCATCTACACCTGCTCATCCCATCAGATTGCCTGAGTCGACCCTACAAAGTACCGGCGCCAAGGAGGGAGAAAAAGAGGAGAAGTCATCACCCGCGGCACGGTGCTGACCATGAGGTAATATAGGGGCCTTAATGATTAGAATAGGGTTTTGGGGGTTAGTATAAAAACATACTTTTCAAGGGGCCGGACGTGAGTTTATTAGTATTTTACTAGAAATTCTTCCGACCTCTAGATTAGGATGCGTGGCTCGCAGCCCATCATTGAAACCATCCCTGACCCTATCATTCAGGCGACCCTTGTCATTTCTGATTGTCAGGCGGCACTTTCATCAACAAGTTGTCGAACTTAGCGCTATATGGGAGGATCAGGGTCGCTATCAAGCCAGCGCGATTCGTGCGTTGCCGTCTTTTCGTTGTCACCATAGGCCCCTAGAGCCTCATCCTGAAAGCTGCAGGTGGCTAGCGCTACAAACCCTCTAGCCCTAAACCCTAAACCCTAAACCCTCTAGCCCTAAACCCCAAACCCCGAAACCCCTAAACCCTAAACCCCCAAAACCCTAAAAAACCCAAAACACCCTCCGCCCAAGAGCCAGCCTCGCTCCAAGTCATGGACGCCACTGCTGCCCACTAGCGCCTGGCCGCCGAGGGCTACACCAAAGGGTTTAGGGTTTAGGGTTTAGGGTTTAGGGTTTGGGGTTTGGGGTTTGGGGTTTTGGGGTTTTGGGGTTTAGGGTTTAGGTTTAGGGTGAGAGCTGAGGAGTTAGGGTTTAGGTTCTTGGTGTAGGGATGAAAAGTTGATCTCTAGACTCCTAGGCTTAGGGTTCAGGGTATGTAAGGCTTGCCTATAGATTCAGACAGGGCTCGGCTGTTTTTTTTTTTTTTGTTTTTTTTTTGGGGGGGGGGGGGTAATTAAGGATCATCACTTGAAGGGGAAAAAGGAGGGCCTCTGCGGCGCGGCCGGCTTGATAAAGAAATTATGCCCGCAGCCCGGCACCCTCAATCGGGTACCTTTTGTAAGTCCGGGGATATAAGGGCCCTCAAACCCTCGACGCCCTCAACCTTCCACCCGAAATCTGCACTTTGTGAAGCAGGCAACACCCTGAAAGCCTCAACCGTCAACCGTCAACCCTCAACCCTGAAAGCCTTAAAACGCCATTGGGCTTCAATTTTAGGACTTGGGGTCGCAACAGGCTGAACCCTTTACCCTTAACCCTAAACCCTAAACCCCTAAGCCCCTAAACCCCTAAACCCCTAAACCCCTAAACCCCTAAACCCCTAAACCCCTAAACCCCTGAACCCCTAAACCCCTAAACCCCTAAGCCCCTAAACCCCTAAACCCCTAAACCCCTAAACCCCTAAACCCCTAAACCCCGAAACCCCTAAACCCCTAAACCGTAAACCCTAAACCCCTAAACCCCTAAACCCCTTAAACCCCTAAACCCTAAACCCTTAAGGCCTGGGCTGAGGCCTGGCTTTAGGGCTTCACACTGCCACCTCGTTCCAGGCGGTGCCCGTGGCCCCCCAGACACCAAAGCAAAGAGAGCCTTTGTGCTGGAGGTTCAGGGTTTAGGGTTTAGGGTTTAGGGTTTAGGGTTTAGGGTTTAGGGTTTAGGGTTTAGGGTTTAGGGTTTAGGGTTTAGGGTTCAGGGTTCAGGGTTCAGGGTTCAGGGTTCAGGGTTCAGGGTTCAGGGCTTCGGGTTGGGGGCATTTGGGCACTGAGAGGTCTTGGGGTTTAGGGTTGGGGCAGCTAGGGTTCAGGGCTTCGGGGTTTAGGGTTTAGGGCTCGGGGCTTGGGGGATTGGGCTTTGGGGATTGGGGTTTGGGGTTTAGTGTCCAGAGTCCCGGGTCTAGAGCTCCTGGTAGTGGGGTGGAGGCTCTTGGAGATGTTTTGGAACTCGGGGTGTCCTAGGGTTGTTTGGTGTTTTTGCTTCGTTGGGTTTGGGGTCTTTGGTGTAGGTTTAGGGCGTACGTGGCTTACTTGGGAGGGCGTGGGGGGGACTGTTAACCCCCCCCACCCCCCCCCCCCCAAAGTGTCGTCAACCCCCGGCAAGCGCTCAGTTTAGTCTTCCCTGAACGATACTGAGCTTGGAACCCTAGCAAAAAATTCCAATGTTAGCTGTTTCTTAGGAATTACAGTACCCAATGATTTTAAAATTATTCTCAAGAATCCTTAAGCTGTTCAAATACCCTAAACCCTAAACCCGAAACCCTAAACCCTAAACTCTAAACCCTAAACCCCCCAACGATTTAACAAGAATCCCTAAGTGAAGCTGCTGCCAGGGAGCCGTACACCACCGCCGGAAAGTACAGAATAAACGGCAGCCATCCTCAGAGACAGCGGGCAATCCCCTTCGTTTAAAATAGGGTTTATAGGGTTTCTAGGGTTTCTAGGGTTTAGGGTTTAGAATTTAGGGTTTAGATTTTAGGGTTTAGGGTTTAGGGTTTAGGGTTTAGGGTTTAGGGTTTAGGGTTTAGGGTTTAGGGTTTAGGGATAGGGTTTAGGGTTTAGGGCTTAGGCCTCACGATTTACGGTTAGGGGTTTATGTCAGCGGCGTTTGGGCGTTTGAAGGGGTGGGGTTCTGGGAAGTGTTCCGCCTCAAGAAGAAAAGAGTCGGTTTCGTGCTGTGCGGCCACGCAAGAAAGCCACCGGTCGAGTTGGACAGAGAATGCGCAGGACACGAGAAACCAGGTCGGGTAGAGTCTGCAGTGTGCCTTTGGCACACACTGCAGAGAACCTTAGGGCCATCCCAAACACCCTGCAAAACCCTGAACCTTGAGCCATGAAGCCAAATCCTGCGGTGGGGAGGGGACCACTCATGCCGAGGTGCGAAGGAGAACCAAAGGCTTTGTCAGCACCATGCTCGTGTTCGTGTCCCGGGGCGGTACCTACGCAGGTTGCTGTGTGAGCTTCGACTAGGACTTAGGGTTTAAACTTTTAGGGTTTCGCAGTTTCGCACCCTAAGCCCCCCCAAAGGCAGCCGCGAAGGCGTCCCATCGCCTGCCCCGAAAGCCACCCGAAACGCGATAAAGTGCTAGACCCAACCCATAAACCCCTCTTCAAGCCATCCGACTGCACCTCCGCGACGAAGGCTACCCTCAAGAAGGCGAAAATGCCACAAGCCCCAAACCGCACCCCCCCCCTTCCCTCAGACCCCTTGAAGAGAGGGCCCGGGGATCCCCCAGGCCAGGGTTCATGGTTTCGAGTCTTTAGTTTAGGAGGGCGTAGGGTCGGTTTAGGGTTGTAACGGCTCAGGACGTCGGGTTCTTTGTAGGATCTCGAACAACAGGGCCTTCATGATGTAGTCTTCCGCCTCTTCGAAGGCATAGCACATGGTGCATAGCACGTGCGTGACCTCGCTGCAACTTGCTCAACGCCCTAAACCCTAATCCCCGAGCTCTTCAGGAAACCCGCAAAGGGGGTTTAGGGTTTAGGGTTTAGGGTTTAGGGTTTAGGGTTTAGGGTTTAGGGTTTAGCGTTTAGGGTTTAGGGTTTAGGGCTTAGGGTTCAGGGCTTGAAGAACAGGCCACGAAAAGGTTCAGCAGCTGCAGCGTCGGCTTCAGAGGCACGACGAGGCCCAAGGCTATGGAGATCATTAAGCTCAGCATCCTCGGGTCGGGCTTAAGGTGGGGGAGTTAGGGTTTAGGGTTTAGGGTTTAGGGTTTAGGGTTTGGGGTTTAGGGTTTAGGGTTTAGGGTTTAGGGTTTAGGGTTTAGGGTTTAGGGTTTAGGGTTTAGGGTTTAGGGTTTCGGTTTTAGGGTTTAGGGTTTAGGGTTTAGGGTTTAGGGTTTAGGGTTTAGGGTTTAGGGTTTAGGGTTTAGGGTTTAGGGTTTAGGGTTTAGGGTTTAGGGTTTAGGGTTTTGGCTTCCTAGTTCATGGTTGGGATAATACTTAAACTTCTATTCCTTATTGGGTTTAAGCACCCTTAAAAACTCAAAAATGTAAAATGTGACCACTCAATAAGGTCCCTGTTTAAGAGAGCCAGAAGAGGGTTAAGAAGGGCTCCCTTTTCAGGGCCCCCCTTATCCTACCTAGGAAAGGGGGGGTTAGGGTTTTGGCGTGGTGGAGTTCATGGCTTTGGGGTTCGGGTTTTTAGGTTTGGGGTGTCTGGCATTTAGGTTTAGGGTTTGGTGTTGATCAGAAGGCAGAAGCAGAGAAAACCTGACGAGCGAAGTGTGAGTTTGCATGTCAGGTAGAAACCTGTGCGGCTTGAAGGAACATTAAGCAACAGTGGCCTCGAAAGGCATAGCGGAAAGACAGATAGGAACGGGAACTGCTCGACAGTCTTGCAGCAACGGCCAGGTCTCCTGTAGTACCCTAGACCTCACGCCCCCAAACCCTCGCGCCAATCCCTCAAGCCTGCGCACACCCTCACGCCCTGCACGCGCACGCACGCACACACGCACGCACGAATGCACGCGCAGGCCGCGGACGGGGCTCTCTCCGAACTTGAGGCTCAAGTTGGCGGTCACGTACTTCTGCACATTGGTGAAGATCCGCCGGCCTCTGTTTCGTCCCGTGGCAGCAGCTTCAACATGAAATCGACATGGGGGTTTTACGAAACAAGGGGTGCCGTTCCTTGCTTCCTCTATACCGTGTTCGCACATCTTCTTTTTGCCGTAACATTTTCGGGGGGGGGGGGGGGGGGGGCTGGGGCCCCAAAACCCTTCAACCCTGAACTTCTGACCGGTGCAAAAGTGCAAGGGTTTCCCTAAACCCTAAACCCTCTAAACCCTAAACCCTAAACCCTAAACCCTAAACCCTCTAACCTCTAACCCTAAACCCTAAACCCTAAACCCTTCCTCGCCGTCTCGGGGCCTTCCTCGATGGCCAGGACAATGGTGGAGAAGTTGTCGTCCATGAGAACCAGGTCGCCTGGGCTCCGAAAAACCCTTGAGGGTTTAGGGCGTTTCAGGGTTTAGGGTTTTCAGGGTTTAGGGTTTAGGGTTTAGGGTTTAGGGTTTAGGGTGTTTCAGGGTTTAGGGTTTGGCGTGTAGGGTTTAGGATTTAGAGTTTTTAGGGCTTTTAGGGCTATCAGGTTGTTCATGGTTCTTGCGGCTCTGTAGTCGTTGCAGGGCTTAGTAGAAGAGACCTCAGGCGGGTCTATGATTTAGAGGAGACCTGGTATGATGAAAGACAAGAACGGATGCACGAAGTGAGGTCCTTTCGCTCACACGCCATGCACATATGATATAGTCAGCGCGTGCACACGCACACACACACAGAGACACGACGCATGACGATGCCGTTCTGAAGCGGCTCACTGTGCAAAGGCATGTCAAAAGTGGCCCACGTTTAAAGTCCAGTCTCCCATCTCCTTCTCGTTCATACTCAAAGCCTTTTGGGCTTCCTCTGCTGTATAGAAAATAACCACCATGTGTCTAGGAGACAGATCCTTGTGGGAGAGGCCTTGGTTGATCCAGCGTGGGCGCCCGACGTCGCTGAACAAGTCCTTGACTTCGTTGAAGGTGGTGGTGTTGGGCAAGTTGCTCAGCAACAAAGACCGCTTCTCGAGATTCACAACGATTTGGCGCTTGACTTTGCCCCCGCCTTTGCGCTTTCCTTGAATCGTGACACCGTCAAACTTCTCTACAGCCTTCATAGCCTCCGCTGGCGAGGACATGGTCACTGTAGCCCAACCGTGCGACCTGCCTTTTGCCATCTCAACCTCGCTCCGGAGAACTGTGCCCACTTCTTCAAACATCATGCCAAGCTGCTTGCCCCTGGTGCTCCAGGGAAGGTTTCCCACGTAGACGCTACGAGATTCCGGGCTCCGCCCCAGCTCAGGTTCCTTGCTGGAGGGTCCCTCCATGGCGAAGAGAGGCGCACATGGCCAGCTCACAGAGGCTGCCACAAGTAAGACGCAGAGGCGGCCAAGAGGCGCCTCCGAGACCCCCAGCGGCTTCGCGCACCTCCTGCGCGTCGGCCGCAACGGTGTGGCTGCCATGGTCCCCCCCAACCGTCAGGGCACAAGCTCCCCCAAAGTTGCTACTGGATCACATGGCTTCTGGCGCCCAAGAGCCCGATGACCACCGGCGATCTTGTATCTGTGGGTTTCGAGCTCAGGGGTTTATGGGGCGTTTCACGGGCCTTGCCAGCAAGAGTTGCCCTGTAAGCCTACTTTCAACCCTCAGCCCAAAATCCTCAACCCTCAATCCTAAACCCTAAACCCTAAACCCTAAACCCTAAACCCTAAATCCCGACTTGCATAGCTGCTTTAGCTCGGGGAAACGGGGGGTTCAGAGTTTCAGGGCCCTGAGCCCGAAACGTGCTTGCACCCGCCCTTCCGGCACGATCAAGCAACAAACCCTAAACCCTAAGCCCTAAACCCTAAACCCTAAACCCTAAACCCTAAACCCGTTCCCGACCCTCATGGTACTGACTGGATGGAATTGGGGTTTAGGGTTAGGGTTTGGGGGTTTTAAGCTTAGGGTTTAGGGGGATACGAACTAGTTGTAGTTGGCGTTGGGTTTTGGAAATCATGGCGTAGGGGGTTTAACTAACTAGCTGGTGGGGAACTTCAAGCATAAGTCTACCCCAAACCCTAAACCCCTGTGCCCCGGCTAAGCCCTCACACAAGGTCAATCTGTGGCATTTGAGGTTTAGGGTTCAGGGCTTAGGGCTTAGGCAGGGTTCAGGGTTTCGGGTCCCTTCTTTTTTGGTGTAGGCGCTGGCATTCTGGGTGACGGCCGTCCCGGCGATTCCTGGAGTCAGCTGCGCCAAGGCTAGGCCAGGTCCCTCCTAAACCCCTAAACCCCTAAACCCCTAAACCCCTAAACCCTAAACCCTAAACCCTAAACCCTAAACCCCTAAAACCCCTAAACCCCTAAACCCCTGAACCCCTAAACCCCTAAACCCCTAAACCCCTAAACCCCTAAACCCCTAAACCCCTAAACCCCTAGACCCTAAATCATGGTACCTATAAAGCCAGCCTCAGACGTTCCTGAGAAAACCATGAAGCCCCTTAGGGTTTAGGGTTTAGGTTTCGGGGTTTAGGGTTTAGGGTTTAGGGTTTAGGGTTTAGGGTTTGGGGTTTGGGGTTTTTCGGTTTGGGGTTTGGGGTTTGGGGTTTGGGGTTTGGGGTTTGGGGTTTGGGGTTTGGGGTTTGGGGTTTGGGGTTTGGGGTTTGGGGTTTGGGGTTTGGGGGTTGGGGTTTGGGGTTTGGGGTTTGGGGTTTGGGGTTTGGGGTTTGGGGTTTGGGGTTTGGGGTTTGGGGTTTGGGGTTTGGGGTTTGGGGTTTAGCGTTCCTTACCAAGCCCTATACCCCCAAATCACGAGGTGCCCAAACGGCCCTAAGCCCCCATTCCCATAAGGTTCAGGTTTTAGGGCTTTATAGTAGGGTAGTTGAACAACATTCTTACCCGTTCCATAAAGAAGGAAACGAATATGAAGAAAGGAATCCACGATCCGACATGATCCCTAAACCCTAAACCCTAAACCCTAAACCCTAAACCCTCCGTAGCAAGGGTGTTTGGATCTGACAGGTAGCCCATGGCCACACCCACGTCGGCGTTTCTCAGCGCCGGGGCCTGTGGATCTGGTGTATGCCACGGCGCCCCAAACAATGAACCCTAAACTTTAAGGGTTTAGGGTTGAGGGTTTAGGGTTGAGGGTTTAGGGTTGAGGGTTTAGGGTTTTGGGTTTTGGGTTTTGGGTTTTGGGTTTTGGGTTTTGGGTTTAGGGGTTTAGGGGTTTGGGTTTAGGGTTTTGGGTTTTGGGTTTTGGGTTTTGGGTTTTGGGTTTTGGGTTTTGGGTTTTGGGTTTTGGGTTTTGGGTTTTGGGTTTTGGGTTTTGGGTTTTGGGTTTTGGGTTTTGGGTTTTGGGTTTGCTGTGAAAGGGCGCGGAAGCTGCGAAGGTTGGGATGCAGACTCGCTTCGAAAGCTTCGTGAAATGCGAGGAGCAGACATGGCCCGAGAGTGGAGGGCCATGTAACATCTTTATCCCACCCCGCGCCGTCTCAGGCGGCAACACCACCTAAATCCATTCCTTCTAAGTTTACCTAAGCTCAAATCAACAACCCACTTCCAAAAATTCAGGGGGTCTCGCGTCACGGGGCAAAGGGATTCCGAAGGGGGTTTGGGGGGGTTGGGGGGGTTGCAGGGGGGTTGCAGGGGGGTTGCAGGGGGGTTGCAGGGGGGCCATGGCTGGGACCAGAGAAGTCCCAGTGTCAGGAGTGTCGGGCGGGGGCAGCCGCTTCGGTCTTTTTGCCGTGCTGGCGGGCAGCTTTGAGGGTTTGAGGCAAAAGAGGGTTTAGGGTTTAGGGTTTAGTGTTTAGGGTTTAGGGTTTAGGGTTTAGGGTTGAGGGTTTAGGGTTTCGGGTTTCGGGTTAGAGTTCAGGGTTCAGGGCTTAGGATTTACGATTGGCCTGGGCCGGCGATTCGCCAGGCCCCTTTACATCACTCTGGGTTTGGTATCACCCACCCTCCCAGCATCCCGTTTCATTTGAATTATACATGGGGGTTTACGAAAATTGGTGACCCCTAACATAGGCCCCCCCAAAGTAGCAAGATTCCTTTAGAATAAGGACCCCCAACAAGGCAACCCCTAATTTCGGACACCCCCATATCCACTCTTCTTACTTGACTCGGTGTTACGTGCATGCGGGCTTCCAAAAGCTTCCTCCGTCAGATTCGGGAGAAAGTGGCCGATTCCAGTAATGATAAGGCGCAGATGTTGATGGTTTAGGGTTTAGGGTTTAGGGTTTTGGGGTTAGGGTTTAGGGTTTAGGGCTTAAGGAGAAACGACACCATGATCTTCCAGATTTGGGGGGCTTCCAAGGGGCTAAGCGGGCTGATTAAAGCAGCTTCTCAGCATCCCACATTGGAGCAGGACCCCCCCCCTCGCCGCAGCGTCCCCACCAAGGACCTCCTACCAAGTCAGGCCGCCTGGCAAAGGCGATTCTTGTTTTGTGTTTGGGCCCTTGCTGGGACTCCTTGGAAGCCTTCCGAACCCCCACTGCCCAGCTGTTCTGGGACTGAATCTGGCCAGAGCCTGGGACCTGCCTGTACGGGCAGGTTCAGGACTCAAAAAAACCTCAAAACGGTTCGTTGAGGGTTAGATCTTCTTAGGTAGAGAAGGTGTAGAGACTAGGGTTCGGGGTTTGGGGTGTAGGGTTCGTGCCGGTCTAGGGCTTACGGATGCTTTGGGTGCATTGTGGCACTGAGCGGTCTTAGGGCTTAGGGTCTGGGGCAGTTAGGGTTTCGGGGTATTCAGGGTTGCTACCTCAGAACTTGTCTCCCAGGAACGTCGTTGACGCCATCCCCCGTCATGGCAACAACGTGTCCGTCGGACATCAGCGAAGCAACTGCCCAAGGGATTCAGGAGTGTGCGACATTGGGTTTAGGTTTAGGTGTTAGGGTTTAGGTTTAGGGTTCTAGAGTTCAGGGTTAAGAGGGTTTAGGTTTAGGTGCTGGGGTTTAGGTTTAGGGTTGTAGGGTTATAGGGTTTAGGGTTTAGGGTTTAGGGCGTCAGCGGCTGTGCAGTTCTTCCCAACCCGGACCTTCCACCCGCATCCCCACTCTACTTGGAGGTTCATGGGTTCTGAACCTAAAGCCCTTTCGGGAAAGTGATATAAGCCTGAAAACAACCCCTAAACCCTAAACCCTAAACCCTAAACCCTAAACCCTAAACCCTAAACCCTAAACCCTAAACCCTAAACAGATCCGCCTTTGATCGTTGCGGAATCAAGCCCTCGCTGCCCTCATCTCCACAAAAAACCTTGCAAACCCTAAACCCGAACCCTTTGGGGGGCCTATGTAGGGGCCACTTAGGGAATAACGGGACTATGTAAGGTAAACATAAGGGGGTCCTTCCCTAAACCCTAAACCCTAAACCCTAAACCCTCAACCCTCAACCCTAAACCCTAAACCCTAAACCCTGAACCCTCAACCCTAAACCCTAAACCCTAAACCCCTTAATCAAACCTCACCCCGGCACGCCTATAGCCACCTTGTCCGATGGGCAGGCACGCGCGAAACCTGGGATGACGACCCTACACCCTACACCCTAAACCCTAAACCCTAAACCCTAAACCCCAAACCCCAAACCCTAAACCCTAAACCGTAAACCCTAAACCCCACCTCTAAGTGAAGATTCTTGGGGTCTTGACCGCCTTGGGGGAGCACTTGGAGGTTCAGGGTACGTATCAACCCAATAAGAACTGCACGATACCCATATTAGGGGCACTTGAAGGGGCTTATAAGTGGGTGATAAGTACAGTTACAATTGGTTCAGCAGTTCCATGAACCTCCAAGTAGGGTACCGGGCTTCAAGAGTTTTGGTCCTCGATCAGTTTGGCTCTGGTGCGGGTTTAGGGCTTAGGGCTTGCCGGATGTCTGGCCGCCTAGGGCCCAGGGTTTAGGGTTTAGGGTTGAGGGTTTAGGGTTTAGGGTTTAGGGTTTAGGGTTTCGGGTTTAGGGTTAGAAGGATGTTTGGAGCTTACTGAGGCTTGAGGGGCCGGGTCACTTATAGCCCTAGGTGGAGAAGTCCTTAGACCTTAGGTCCTTGGGGCCTCAAACCCTAAACCCTACGTCCTAAAACACCATAAACCCTCAACCCTAAACCCTAAACTCAAAACCCTAAACCGTAAACCCTAAACCCTCTACATGCTAAGCTCTGCCACCACCCTAAACCCTAAACCCTAAACCCTAAAACCTAAACTCTAAACCCAAACCCCTAAACCCTAAACCCTAAACCATCGCAGGCCCAGGCTGCAGCGCGTCCTCCGCACCAGGGCGGCCAAGGCCTCCTCTGAGAGGAAGCTCGGCTCATGGCCGTCCTTCAAGGTTTGGGTTTAGGGTTTGGGGTTTAGGGTTTAGGGTCTTGGGTTTCGGGTTTAGGGTTTAGGGTTTAGGGTTTAGGGTTTAGGGTTTAGGGTTTAGGGTTTACAAACATCAAACCCTAAACCCTGCTAACCCTAAACCCTAAAACCTCCAAGCCCCAAAATCC